GGGGCTGCTGGCCTGGCTGGGAACTAGGAGGTTTCCAAGCTCTGGTTTGGGGAGTAAGATGGTGTAGGCCTACCTGACAGCCCTGGAGGCAAGGGTGAATTCTTTTTTAATTGTGGGGAAGGGGGGACTGTGGGAGCCAGTGAGAGAGAAACCACCCTCGATCAGGTGTGGTTACACAGCAGTCCTTTCCCCCTTTTCTTTGTGCCGCCAGGATCTGAGCTCAGTCCTTTTTCTCCCATTTCTTTGTCCCAAGAGGATCTGAGCATGCGCACACATGCACACGTTCTCGGCCTGCCAGGGCTGGGATCATCTCCCCATGCAGAGCCCTGAGATGCTGTGCTGCAGGGCCAGTCTAGCATAAGCTTAATTTAAACTCGGAGACAGCCTGGACTTTGGGGCCTAGGAGTCCTGACTTTGAAGCTGGCTTGTCACATACAAGTTGGGCCACTTGGGCCAGCTTCATCTCTCTGAGCCTCAGTTTCTTCACTCACTAAGTGGTGGTTGCAACTGGTGTGTTCCTCACGGAGTTACCGTGAAAAGGAAAACGGAATGTGTGGAAAGCACCCAGCACAGTGCCTAGAAAGCACTAGAATTTCTGATTCGCAATGCAGACACTGACATATCTGGGTTGTCAGGGTGGACTGAACACCTTCTGCTCCAGGGGAGCAGACCGGTGTGGACAGCACTGCCTGCTGGTCAGCCCAGACCGGGAGATGCAGCCCCGGGCATTCCCAGGGATTGGGTCTGACCTTTGTCAGACCCTGGTTCTGAGCAGGGACTGCCCTTATCACAGGAAAGTCGTACCTGGGAGCCCAGGAACATGCTCAGAATTTGACTAGAGAGATAAACAGCTGCTCTCACCCTGGTCAGTGCTACAGTCTGTTCCCTGAAAATGCCTGAGAGTAATACAGCTCAGCTTGCAGCTCCATTCTGGGACAGACGCGGTCTGTGGCCCTGTGAGTATGGCGGAGGCCCCAGGCCAGCTGACATTTCCCCTAGGCTTCTTTGATTAGCGCCACAGTTGGAACAAACAGGAGAAGGCCTGGACTGGAGTCTTTGGTTTCCTGACTGGACGAGTCTGTAAGGGAGGAAAACTTTCCCTCTGTCCCCTCAGGTTCTGTAAGTGGAGACTGCAGATTAAGCTGAAAAAGACAGAGGAACAGAAAAGAGACATACGTATGGTATGAAATGTTAAATTTTGATGCCTAGGATCTTCACAGAAAAGAAGTGGAAACTGAAAGAGACAGAACAGGGGCTTAGATACTATTTTAACAAAGAGCAATAAACTGCAGAGGGGTGGCCAAAGGGAGAGGGGCTTGCACCCCCGGGGGCAGCACAGTGGGGAGGTGCCTATTAGGTGAGAGTGGTGTAGATTTAGCAGTCAAGTTCACATCTTCTTCCTGGTATAGAAGAGAGGGCACCTTCGCAAACAGAATTTTAGCTTTCCTTTATAAATGGAAATGTACCAACTGCTTTCTGGCAAATGGGGGAAGAGCAAAGAGTATCTTCTGAGTCTGCTATTTCTCCACTGCCTTCAACTCAAAATAATCCTTAGGTTAAAGTGGTATATTTGGGGGTAGCATATTCTGATTCCTGTCGAGTTCCTGCCTCAGCCCCTTCCGTAGCCCCCTGCATTGTACACGTGGGCACCCAGCTATGTGTGTGTGTGTGTGCGCACGCACGTGAGCTAGTCTCCTTAGACAATGGCGGGGGACAGACCGAGCACCCTCTCTGTAATGACAATGTGACTTTGCAACCAGGAGCTGCCTTCAGAATGCTGCCTTTATCATGCCCAGCTGGGTCCTCTCCCTCGTGCTGAGATGCATGGCATTCTTGCTCAGGCACCTGCTCAAGGGAATTGATTTGTTTAATTGCCAGAGGGTGCGTGCACTCTCCAGAGACAGAGAAGGAGAGAGAGAGAGAAAGTACCTTCCAACGGGGCATGGCCGTGCTGCCCTTCTTCACTTCTTCATCTCATCGGGATTTGAGGTACACACACGCAAACACACACACACACACACACACACACACACACACACGTCTGGCATGTCTCTCAAGTCACCAGGGCCAGGACTTGGAGTGTGATCAGCCGTGTGGAATCTGGCTCCCTTATCTGCTAGGCTGTGGGGCCATTTGAAGGGAATTTTTCATCTAGGTTGAAAGGACCTCTGAGGTGAGTGACAGGGGGAGGTGTGGCAGGACCCATAACTGATCAATGAACCTCAGCGCTGCCCCCTTCAGGGCTGCAGTCCAGGGGGCGGCTGGGAGTACAGCTCAGGGTGATATGCATCCCGCGGGCCCATGACTCCGCTGCCCGCCCCTGTATTTCCTATTCTCTATTCGTCCCTGTAGTTCCCGTTCTCTATCCTGATGGCAAGGTCCCTGTCCGAAAGCACTGTTTAATAACTCCTGGCAAGGACCTCCTCAGTGGTTATGCCCTCGGCTCTGTGATAGGCAACCCTAAACAGAGTATTTCTTCAACATCTTTAAAATGGCTCCCAGAAACTTCTAGATTTGTCACCCTTGTCCTCGATTCAATTCATTGTTTACCTTTACCAGAAAGGAAATCCTTTCTGATCAGGCGGCAGTCTTCTTCCATCAGATAAAAAGAATTAGAGTGTAACCAACCTCTTGTTTTCTCTTTTTTGTCTTGGCAGTTAGAAAACTTAGAGCCATAAGACAGCTGGTAAATCAATAAAATCTTTCAACTTAATTATTTACCTGCTATTTTTATTTTATTAGTCCAACTGTGACTGTCTTACTGTAAATAATTACACAGGTGAGGGAAAAAAAGCCATGGTTTCTGATTTAGGAAAGAGAGACATTATTCAAAAGGATTACCCAGGGGGTTGGCCTGGGAAGGGGCTGCTGGGGGTGTGTGGGGGGGGGGGCGGTGGCACTGACCTGAATCAGACCTGCAAGTACCTCCAGGGCAGAAAGGGGCAGAAAGGGGGAGGAGTCAGCAAGCTGGAAAGAACCCGGTGGGGCGTAGGGAGTGGGCAGGAGGCTGCTCAGCGCTGCAGAGTGCTTTGCCCCCAGGCCGGCCTGTGCTCTACAGGCCACTGAGGACCCTGGGAATCTGGCTCAGGCTGGCTGGTGGGCCAAAGTTCATAAGACTGGCGGGAAAACCTGGTTAACAAACATGTCGTTCCAGGTCAAGAAAGGATTTGGAGGGTCATGTGTGGAGGGCCCAGGTGTCCCTCTGCATCTAGCCTGCTGCTGCCCAGGGGCAAGGACCGGCCTCACTGGCTGCCCTGCCCTGCCCTGCCCTGCCCTGCCCAGGGCCTGACTAACGTACTTAGCTGTGTTTGTTGACTGATTAAACAATGGCCTTTCTTTTTTAAAAAATATTTTATTTATTGTTATTATTTTTTGACATATGCTCATAAGAAGGGTGGAGGGGAGTGAGGAAACAAGCTACCAGGCCCAGGACTCAAACCACAGTTGGCTGTGGGGGGAGTCCAGTGCCTCAACCACCACACCACCTGCTGGCCCTAAACGAAGGCCTTTCTGGAGTCGGGGCTCATCAGGAACAAGCAGGCTGCATTCCCCCACTCCCTGAGAGGTCCTAACCATGCCCTGACCCTGCAGGGTAGAAGGTGTTATCCCATAGCCCATCAGGGCTAAGGAGAGGCCCAGAAGGAGAGATGTGAGAAGTCTCCACCGGGTCTGGTCACCCCGCTGTGCCCTTTCTCCAGTCTTCCCGCTCATCAGAGTTGTTGTGCGCCCGGCCTGCAAGGGCTGCAGCCCTGGGGTGGGGGAGCTGCGCGGGGGCCCTTCCACTTGCTTGCCAGCCCCACTTCCCGCGGGTGACCAGACCCGCACCCCATCTAACTTGTAACATCGATTTCTCCTCACTCTCCCCGCCCTTCTGTCCGTGTCTCCATGCATGTGTCTCTCTCTTTCTCCTACTCCATCCCTTAGTACCCTCCCCGCTCTGGCTCTTACTGCTGTGGATGGCTTTGGTGATGTCCCGGTTCTTGGTGTTTCAGACAAAGACTTGAACGAAACACGCCAACAGCGAAAGCAAAGAGTAGTGTATTAAGTAAAAGTGCAAGTACAGTCCCCAGAGGTTGGCGCAGCCCTAGCCGAGACAGAGTGGCTCTGGCCGGTAATTACTTTCCGTGAAGTTTATCGTTCCTTCGCCAGGGTCATGTGGTTGATCATTGGCTGGGCCCACTGATTGCTTTCATCCCATTGGCTAGATCGAATGTGGCTGGGCCCAGGGGTTCATCCCACTGGCTCTCTCAAAGTTGGCGGGACCCACTTACATTACCTTGAGCGGGAATGCTCTGCCATGCTGGGCTTTTCTATCTAGCCACATGGGCGGGTGCTCCAGCCCCCTTACCTGCTTCCATTTTCTAACTTTTCCCACCCCATTATTACTCTATCTCTCTCCCTCCCATCCCTGTCCTCCTGATATCGCCAGTCTCAGCACGCGGAGACCTTCCAGTTGGACTACGTCTCACTAGGACCCCAGCGGCTGGCAGGGCAAGCGGGTGGCTGCCGACTGCACACCAGCACGGACATGTCCCGTCTCCTCGCCCCTCTCCCTGTGTGTCTACTTAGAGTAGCCCTGCCACACGGGTGCCATCGTTCTG